ATGCACTAACGCGGTCCTGCACCCCGGGTCCTACCACAAAATGGCATGGCCCCGCAGCACGGTCCGGCACCCCGGGTCCTGGAGCCCGGCACCGAGGAAGCCAATGGCGCCCTTTGTCCCTCGCCCTCCTTCGTAACATAGAGGACGCCGGACCAAACCATGACACGACATCCCTCACATACACCCATAAGCACGAACAGTTCCACTCCCCAAGCTGCAGCGTGACCCGTTCACCTACAGTTAAGTTGAAAGCAAACGTTGTCTTTTACTGAACCCGTACAAAGCAGACAGCGACGAACCGTAAGTAAGGCGGAGGGGGTCTTTGTATTTTCTCTTTTCCAAGATGGAGAGATGTATTTCATGCGAACAAACGTCCCGTTTCTAGCCAAGTACTTCCCCATTGCATCTTTGATGCGTGCAATGTGAGTCTCAACCTCCAACTTTTGGTCGCCCAATGATACTCTCACGTGCTGCATGAAATCGGACTTGGCCTCCCTACCTAAGCACTTGAGAAGCGAGAGGCAACCTTTAGTAAGATGTAAACTATTGTGGGTCGCAAAAACAACGGCATCTGTCAAAGTTCTTGCATTGTTCGTGCAGGCCACACATAATATCCTGCTGACAGGCAGGTGTCCTATTTTCACATGGACACAACCGTAGGAAATCACACTGGAAGAATTCTGACGACTAGGCAAAGGGTAGTCACTCAAGAAGTCGCAAAACCTTGCGCATGTCAGCACCTCAAATTGCTTAATTGGGGACCAGGTCCTGGAAGAGGTTGTGATGCACTTGAACTCTAGAAAGTGGAAGCTGGAATCGGAGGCCGCAAAGGCGAATGTCTTTTGCGGCAACAAATCCGAAGGCAGCAATTGTATCATATTTCCCCACTCCAACATGTTAGCAAAGCGATACTCATTCGCCCATGGACATAAGGACATTGCGGACTCCCAATCCTCTTCACACCAATAATGAATAGGGCGATCAGTCCATGGCACGACGCCCATCCACGGATCCATCTCAAAATCTTCTCGAGTGGCGGCGATGATCTCCGTCCGCTCCCTTGTTCCGTGGATGGAAACCGCTCGTGGCATTCTCGGGAACGCAGCTCTCACCGAGTCGTCGTCGTGGTGGAGATGATTGGCGTTCTCTCTACTCTACGGCATAGCACACATAGACACACACACACACACACACACACACACACACCACACACACACACACACACACACACACACACACACACACATTCAAACACACATTCAAACACACATTCAAACACACATGC